AAGCCTTTTGCCACTTTCCTTCACAATCACTATTTGTTTTCTTCATTTCTTCAATTATAACTCAAAGTCTCCAAGACATTTGTGTCTACGCCACAATCACTACTTATTTGACACTCGTATATGCCATCTTTCTGCTCTCGTAATAAGTGACAGCGCTGACGTATGAAGCAGTGGTTGTCTTTCTCCTCAAGTTGGAGCGCGTTCCGAAGTCAACAAAAAATCGGTGCACATACCTTTTAGTTCACGAGTGTGCTTTTCACACTTTTTGCTTAGGAATATATTTTTATTGGTGGATACTTTATTGGTATCGGTTGCACTTTTTACACTTTGCACTTAAGATGAGACGGAAACTTTAAACGGTGGAAGAAACAAGAATGAGGAGATTATAAAGAATATAAATAACATGAATAATTTTATGGAATATCATTGTGAATTAATAATTATTTATTTAATATTTGTAGTGTTTAATTGAAAATGCCTCAGTGCGTTATAAAACGTATGAGTAATAAAATTACTTATTACTACCAATTTATTTATATTAGAACACTATAGGCGCACGTTACGTGCGCGCTGGTTAGATATATTAAAAAGAACACAACATTTGTACAATAAAAAAATAACTGCGGTTCTAATAAATAAATCTTAAAATCAATCAGTTCAGTATTCAAAAAGCTGCAAAATCTCGGAATTTAACCACGAATCACCACGAATTGTCAAAATGCACGACAATGCATGTGCAGTCAAGTGAGACGTAACGCGAACCAATCAGCGTTGTGAAAAAAGCTTTAAAAAAAGCTTTATTTCGACACAAAATAAATTCATTCATTTAATACACCTTTTTTAGAAAATGGATCTGCCAGTCACAGTAATACTTTTTTTAAAGAATTTGCATAATAATAAAAATAAAATACAAATTTATCCAGATATCTTATAATATGGTGTTACGTTCTTTCTACTATAAATAATCTGTATCTGTGTCTATGTACACACATATATATATATTACTTGCAAAATTTATATTATTAATTTTTTAACTGTTTTATTTTAAACATTTTTTCTCTTCAGTTTTATATTTGAATGAATTACTATTGCTAGGTAACTACCATTTTTTCAGTAATAATCAATGAATGAATGTTCCTATCCAAAATGGCGACAACTGATTCCTCATATGTCTTAGCATAGACTTATACGGATAGAGTGCGCGTCCCGTGAGAGAACTTGAAGACAACATTAAAGTGAAAGGAGCGATAGCTGAGTGAGTGTGTCTCTATCTAACATGCGTCTTGGTGGGGGAAACTGAAAAGGAGAATAGGAGGACAGTTGTACGAGCTATACAAAGGTTATGGTTCACAAATCAATTGACCTTGCTAGATTTAAACTCTGGTTGCTTTAATTACTGTTACGACATCCGAAAAAATAGAATAGGACAGAGAAACGCTTGGAACCATTTGTAACGGTCCGCACCCGACGTTACCTTTCCCCTTGTGTCGTTTTTTCCCCTCTCCTAACACAGAGCGAGAGACAGAGACAGAGAGAGACAGAGAGAGACAGAGAGAGAGAGAGAGAGAGAGAGAGAGAGAGAGAGAGAGAGAGAGAGAGAGAGAGAGAGAGAGAGAGAGAGAGAGACAGAGACAGAGACAGAGACAGAGACAGAGACAGAGACAGAGACAGAGACAGAGAGAGAGCGGAGAGAGAGAGAGAGAGAGAGAGAGAGAGAGAGAGAGAGAGAGAGCGGAGAGAGAGAGAGAGAGCGGAGAGAGAGAGAGAGAGAGAGAGAGAGAGAGAGAGAGAGAGAGAGAGAGAGAGCGCCTCACTCACATACTCACACTCAATAGCTCTGTCCTGTAATGTTGTCTTCAATGCACCCATAAGGATGCGCAGTCTATCTGTAAAAGTCTATGTGCTTAGGAATCATACCCCTCACCCTCGGCGCCCACATATTATGCTCCCTCCATATTTTCTTACTTCCATGAGTACATGGTTATTTCTTACTACACTTTTATATTGCATTATCACGTTAAGTATGTACACTTTTTCGTACTTGATCTTAGCTTAAGGGGACTTTATGAAGCGCTCAAAAATAAGGTAAATTTAGGAATTTTTTTCTAGAACATTGTAACTCCGATTAAATTGAAATTTTAGGGGGAGTTTTATACATATTTAATGAAGAAATATAAATTTTTACAAAGCATTTCATTTAGATTTGCCTCAGTTATGCACCGTTTCGCATGAGGCATCGCATGTTGTCACAATTTGCCGTTGACATCCTAGTGCCCGTTTGCGTGATCTGAAGCGCAAATGTAAAGCTTTTTTTTTTTTTTTATGAATACCTCTTTCCGCGAACCTCAATCCGGATACAAAAATATGATTTCCTTAAAAAAAAACTTTTAAATAGGAATTCGATTTTTCATCAATTTTTTTACATATTTTTCAGTAAAAAAATAGTTTATTATTAATTTATTTATTGGCTTCATAGGTTCACTCCACAGATATAATTTATATTGAATTATCTAAAAACTGAAGATTTGATTATAAATTTGAGTTCTGATGTTAAACGACTTGTGAAACATAGTTTCTAGAAAACCGCATTTAAAGTTTTGGGTGCTATTTTTTTATTCTTACAGTATGTTTCTGGCTAATCTACTATTCCTGACTCATAGAATAACCCCTCTGATTCTTCGTAAATATCGTGTAATTTCTCTACATTGCTTTGACCGGCCATACGAGCTATTTTTGTAGTATCAGCACTCTTGATTTCCGCATGTGTAAATCGCCGTTTATCCGCATAATCAGCAAACAACTTACATTGTTGACCTATAATTATTCCCATTGTCTCTATAATTTTTAAAATGGTAATGTAACCTTCGTTAAACACTCCTGCAGCCAAATATGCACAAGATTCGAGAAAGAACTGAGTTTGAACGACCATTAGAAATTACAATCTTGCTGAGGATATATACATACATATAAAGGCCACTGTACATATAGAATATCCTATTTCTTTGTTTATTTATTTGCTCTGTTCCTTCGACAACAAAAAATTCCTACTTGCTCCGATTCGTACCTGATAATATCGAACGATCGGACGGCGTCGAACAATCGGACGTTAAATCGCTTATAACTCCGTTAATACTTCTAATTTCGAAAAATCGCTACACCAACATATTCTTAAGATATACTATAAAAATACGTAAAAAATTTTTTTTTATTTTCTGAAAGTTCTGGACCATAAGGGGAAATACTATTGTGACGGGTCCAAAAAAGGCCTTTTCTTAAGAATTTTTTTTTATTAAATGAATTATTTAAGGATTGGGGGAAGAGTATATTAAACCTTTGGAGGACCTAATTTGAGGCAAACTAATTTATTGGCTTTTAACTGCTTTTGCCTTTGGAGGCCCGAAAACCAATTTATCAGGTTTTAACTTACTATTGTAGGATATTTTAATTTATAATATTCTACTTTTATATTTCATATTCGCTTACGCGTTATACTTTGTATTGTACCAGTTTCGATTTGTAAACAAGATCGGGCAAACGCTCTCTGTGTGTGATATGAATGTCGAGCCGATAATACTTATTGTTATTCATTTGCGGTGGATGCAACGCACCTCTTTGCGTTGTACCGTGCTTCAAACTGTACCACACCAAGAAAAATTAGTAAATGTATTGTAAAAGCATTAGTCCTCTTATTTTTTCAATTACTTTTTTTATATTTTCGACAAAGTATGCATTTATTGCGAAATAAATTGGTGTATATAAATACATATGATGCATTTTGACTGCCTTCTACTTCATAATTGCGGTAAATTGCGGTATAAAAATTTTTATACATGTTATTTGTCAATCTTTTTCTCTAAAATGATGTTAAACAATTATTCTAATAATATCTAATAATATTAAGTTGAAAAATTAAAAAGAAAGGATCTCGATTTTTTTCCGGACTGAAAGCCAATATATTGGCCAATATATTGGCGCGAAAGTAGCGCCATCTTTTTCGTCATTCAACCCAATGATGTTAATAATAAAGTTCTAATACTTAAAATAAAAAAGTCGAAGAAAACAACTGCGGTCCTCTAAAGGTTAAGGACACTTTGAAGTAGTTTTATACAAATTTTTATTAAAAAATAATAAAAATTAATAAAGATATATACAACAGAGTGCCGGTCCGTAAAGAATTCTTCCAAGAAATTCTTCACGGTGAAGTCGATATCTCTGGCATGGTTCATCTGAAAAAAAAAAATCAAATATTTTCTTAATCTACATAAATGTAGTTTTCGTTAAACGTAGTCGCTTTTTTTATTTTGAAAATTACAATTTTTTGAAGCCCCTTGAACGAAGAGAAAGTTTTGGAAAAGTCGAGATTTTTTTTAACATGTTATTTTGAGAAAAATTAATTTAAGAAAAAATGACTGTGCTTAACGGCTACACTAAATCGTACGGTAAAAAGTTGGATCACTTATACCCTGTATAATTCTTTGAGATAAAATTTCTTATTATTTCATACAGTAGACACTATTAAAGATTGCTGGCGTTAAAAAAATTAACTAAAGAGATTAGTAATTTATAAAAATATTCTGTGTACTAATGCTCACAAGTATTTTAAAATACAGTAAAACATATGGAATATAGACTTCTGTAAATTCTGTATAATAAGAATCTTTGATACTTTGTTACAGCCATTTTGATTTATGACAAAAGTAAGAAAATGCATGTATTGAAAATTTCAAGCTATACAAAATGTTCAAAATATTATATGTTTATATTATATGTTTATGTTAAATATTCAGTTACTTATATAAGATTGTTGAAGGTTATTGATAATGTCACCTTTTGTATCTACTACAGTCACAATCATACTGACCGTACAGTTGAACATAATGGAAAACAGATCTAAAGCATGTATATGTAAGAGGGAAAAAGGGGCATTAACACGTACAATTAACTAATTTCAAAATATTCTAACTAATTTCAAAGCTAATTTCAAAATATTTTCATTTCAGGTTGGTTGACTTCGGTACCACATGAATCGACTCGTGCTTACTGTAAATATTGTAAGAAAGATCTACACGCGCACCGGCTATCTTTGCTGAAACATACATGCACGATGAAGCATCAGCGTGCTGCTTTATTGCTCAATTCAACCGGAGAGATTAAAGATAATTCTCAGACAGAAGAGAACGAGGATGACAGCGAATATATAGTCGAGAGACTGGATATGGAGGAGGATACTACGATGAATGTGCAGGAAGAAAAATTGGAATCTACGGATGTAGGGATGGAGGAAATAGAGGAAAAAGAATCGAGTGATACTGGTGATCTTTGTCTGCAATTGCACCTATCTGATGAAGATGAAGAGAAACCTGTGATTAAGAAAATTGAATTGTCTGTATGTGTCTTGTCTTGTGTAATATACATGTATATTATACTTGTATCTGTATCTATTTGTCTCTATCACTTTCTCGAATATCTAATTACACAATAAACAATAAACAAGTCTGCATTATCTATTATTAACAGCAGGAGAAATGTCATGATGCATTAGCTGAGGCGATGGCCCATGTCCATGGCGAGTATCTTGACGTAGAAGACGCGGACGAGGGCAATGTGGAGCTGGAAATGGTGGTAGAAGAAGAGGCATCTAACAACATAGAGGTAATATTACCCGATGTGATGACAAATCAAGTTAAAGAAAAGTCGAAGAACCTCGAGAGCGGAAAGATTGCACGCCGTTTGGAATTCAAAGCTATTAACAAAAAGTCAGCAGGAAAGATCCTTGTGAGTGATATCTGTGAACAAAAAGATACATGTATTTTTGTATGATCTCGAGTTTTTTTCTCATAAATAACACTACATTGAATGTACTTCATTGTGCTTACATATGTATATAGCATGTTTAGGAAATTAGTCTTAACCACGATTATTTAAATCTGATATATCGAAAAAAAAAACTTTCGCTGTTTAATAATACAATAAATTCTATAGCAATAATGTTCACTTTCAACATTTGCAGCAAACAGACAGTAAGGGTGATGTGATAGTTGCTTCTTTACCGATACTGGAAACAACATATCAGCTGAACTCAACACCATCAACTCACGAAGACAACATTATACCAGTCACTGCTGGACAGAATAGGACTATTACTCTGACATCTGGTGGTAAGACTTTGACTTTGACCGGTGGTACATTCCAACCAGGCACACAATACGTTCTGAGCAAGATCAAAGGTGCCAAGTTGCCTACATTGGTGGTCACCGACAAAAAGCCCATCGTCGCCGTAAACCAGCCCAACCTTAACAAAACTGTTCAGTTGACTACTATGTTAGAATCTACTGCTATCCCTAGTACGAGCCAACAGTCGAGTAAGGTGAGAAATTGGCGAATTTGCTCGATACTTGACTATACTAGATGTATCGAAATACATTGAATATCAATACATTTACAATGACTAAATCGAGAAAGATTAGGTTTAAAGCCAATATGTATAACCAGATTTTATACTTATGTTTGTTTTATAAGTTTTATTATAAATTCATCTTCAGAGATGCTTCATGCCAATGAAGTGGCTTGTACAGCATCTGAAGATGAACTTGAATGAATTTTAAATATAAGATTTAATTATCACTACTGTTCTAAGTTTGATCATCTAAGGTGAATCATTGAGATCCCAATGAAATATATTTCTCGCTTATTCCAGTCATCTCCGTTGAAAATGAAATTACCACCGAAAAAATTACGTATCTCCACTCACGTAGTGGACACTACCAAGGGACTTCCGGTTAGCGGCCTCCAAGTCAGCCTCTACAAACTAGTGGACGGCAGATGGACTTTCATGAACGAGAGGTATGCGATTCTTTTGACTGAAAGCGGTTATTATCTATTGTTGGATGTGATCTGCAAGATAGCATTTTCTTTTCAGCAATACAAATCCGAATGGACGCTGCATCGATCTATTAGATCATAATACTAAGTCGATCGGTATGGGGGGTCGCTACAAGATTCACTTTGATGTCGAGAAGTACTTCTCTTTAAGAAGAATAGAGACCATGTATCCATTCATCGAGATTGTGTTTGATGTGAAAAATCCACTTGGTCACTACCATATCCCAATTTTGTTGAGTCCTTTCGGTTACAGTACATATCGCGGTTCTTAAGCAATTTCCTATGAAAGATTTGATAGAATAAAAAATTATACAAAGCAGGACTTTCATATTAAGAAATCATATTTATCATGTCTTACTACAAAAATTATGAGTATTTTTTTATGAAATTTTTTTGTGTCAAGTAACGTCGCATTACCCATTAAAATTTGTATGCTCATATTTGCAAATTTACTTACATAAGAATAGCAAATCTTGAATTATCGAAGTTTGAATCGTAGTGAATTGCTTATATATATAAATTAGTCTAGGGAAATTATTTAGATATATTATGAACATACTTCTGTACAAATATATTTATATATTTATATTTGTACAAATATATTTATATATTTATATTTGTACAAATATATTTATATATTTATATTTGTACAAATATATTTATATAACATACAATATCACATTTATGAATAATTCTATCTATATCGCTATGATACATCAAATTGTAAAGTTTCTTCGCACTTACGTCAAGGTTTCATTAGTTACGTTACGGTTATACTTACGTTAAGATTAGTCTTTGGTTTCAATTTTCTTTAGTTAATTTATTAAGATTGCTATTGTTTTTTTTTTTTTTTTATAGCATTGTTTCTGTTTTTTCCCTATATTTTTTAAGGATCACGGGAAAATCTTTTGTATGTCAATATTATTATATTAACCATCGTAAATAGTAGGGAGCTTTTGCAACGTAAATCGTGAATGCTATGGGCCAGAGCACAGACTTCTGCATAACGCATAATCCCTCCTCAGGGCAAAAATTAAGAACTCTGATTTGTTGATTCTCTTATGCGTTGTGTATTATGCATTATGCAGAAGTCTGTGCTCTGGCCCTATTGGTTACATACATTGTGACGTTATTTCTGAGAGAATAACGTTCACGATTTACGTTTATCGTATCTGAGAGATGGTATTATAAAAACCCCCTAGTAATATTTCTAGCAACCGTATAGAATACTGTGCCTCAGTCAACCACTGTTAATGTATCACTGCTTAATAATAAGTGCTTTGTGTGTGTTACCACATAATAAATACAATGAATATAGTTATAAAATATAGAATATATAGTTATAGAATATAGCTATAATTAATAAAATATTCTCATCATGTTATATAAACGATTCAAATGAAATTTAAATATATATTTAGATTATTTGATTTAAATATATATGTATATATACATATATATTTAATGTTTAAGTATATTCGTATAATTCACGTAAAATATAAGTTAGGTTACACAATACTCTTATGAAATTACTTGACAAATAAGAAAATGCCTATGGCTGCTATGTGACAAATATGTAATCTTAGAAATGAGTTACTCTTTTAACTCGTAGAAACGACTAAACATGATACTTTAATATAAGTAGAGGTAGGAATCATATATAAACTTTGGTCATTTTATATCGTTTGAAAGCAAATAGCAAGTTCTTCAAGATGCAGTTTGAAGTATTTGAAGTATTTGAAAGTTTAAGTCCTTAAGTTTTTAAATCCTTGAGCATTTGGAGTGCATCTTGACGTATCTAAAATGCTTTAAAATTGTTACTAATATTATTAGTTTCAGCAGCGATTCTTAAGCATAAGATAAGACTACAAGGAGTTTTTATAATACATTGCGATATTATATATTTTTAGTATGATCAAGAAATATATATCGTTAAGCATTAATACGTACATGTTTGTTCTAAAAATATTAGTATTCATGAGTGCTCTATATTTTTACCGCTTTTTCATTTCGTGTATTCTCAAATTTTTTTTTTTCAATATATATGAATACTGTATACGTTGTGTTATATATTGTATACCAACATTGTATCTCAACATCGTCAAACATAGGATAAATATGCATATTCATAGCATTTTGTATTGCATACATCCTAAACAACAAGTCGAGTCTATAAGTTGTCACTAAATATAAACTAGAGGTACGTACACTGATTGAACATTTTCGACCTTCGAGTTTTTCTATCTCTCTCTTACACATAACGATCTTTTAAAACTTCTAGTTTCTCACCATGGTTATCTTAATAGATAACGTCAGAAACGAGAGAAGTTTTGCTCTGTATAGTAGTAGTATACGGTATAGAATCGTATAATTGTAGTGAAATATGTGGATTAACAATGAAATTTGATCACGATAACTTTAAGCCTGTTTAGTGGTCAATTAGAGCAACAGAAAAGATCTTTTCGAAATATTTTACAATTATATTCAGCTCGCGTCTTTTTATTATTTCAGCATATTTTGCAAAAATCTTGTATCTGTATTTTCTCTTGTGTAACATAAATTTACACAGTTACAACGAATAACCAGGAATATTAAGCTGAAACTTACCACGAGTCTCTTCTCGCTTAAAAACAGATACGAATGTATATTTGTGCGCAAGCAGAGTATATTTTTCTACCAATCTAAACCTCTTATTGCACTTCATACCGAATCGGTATTGTGTGTGCGTGTCAGTTTATATAATTATAATAATCCTTGACGGAAGCTTGTAATTTTTGGTTAATGCGTGTGTCTATCGGTTGTAATTTCGTACTAATACATTCTCGCACGTATTTACGTAGATATATTCGTATAAATTTATCTCTCTCGTTCCCTTTATTGTTATTTGTGTCCCAACTCTCGGTCGTGTCTTGTTTAAAATTTCACGTCAATGTTATTCTAACGATCAGGGCGAGAAGCGGGATCTGTTGGTTGGTCGTCGCGGGACACATCATTTGTTCGCAACATTCTCAACACGACAAATCCTGCTTCGTTTTATCACAATCTTTTCAACTTGGAATATTTATATGGTGTTTATGTATCGCGCGATTAAACGCGGGACGGAATATATAATACGAACGGAAGTAACATCAGGATAGATAAGAAAGGTAACGTGAATTTTGTTGCGATCTTTGTACTGTACGCGAACGAATGTATGTTTCTCGTGTCTTTTTTTCGCAGATGGATTTTTCACCATGCCTGAAAATCACCACGACAATTACAGATATCTGCACGGGCATACCCGTCTTTCAAGTGCCGATTATTCTCTTCAAGTTCGACTCTGCAGCAAATAATTGGCTCGTTGTAGCAATCAGGTGTGTATTTCGCGTCTCGTGCATGTACCTTTCTTGTATGTACATATCTCAGAATTGAAAAAGACGTTTTTAAGATGTTCAAAAACAATGTAGGACGTCTTTAAAACAACTTTTAGAAGCCTGTCCAGAGTCTCCAGAGACATCGAAACAATTTTATCCCCAGCACCGGCTTTCGTAAACATTCAAATTCAGCTCGGTTTGTCACAGTAACGATCGATGTCGGGACGTAAAAGTTTGCCGTAATTCGAAAGAATCAAGTCCACACTCTTATTTTTACGCCGACGAATTATCGGCAATGCGCGGCGGTCGGCATATTCTCCGTCGATTCGCTTCGACGCGTTCGAACAAGCACCGAGAAGCGGGTGGCCTGGCCGTTTAAATTTTGACTCTATCGAGCTGGACTTTTTTTTCTTTCTTTTCCGTCGTAGCGCAACAGGAGTGGACGGTAGCTGCACGGATCTCACGGACAATGTGGGAGGATCTCTTGGCGCGGGATTGTACAAGATTCTATATGACGTGAAGGGACAATTCCAGACACATAATATAGACATGCCGCTGTTCGGGATAATCGAAGTAGTATTCTTCGCGAAGCAACCGTATGACCATTATAACTTTAGACTGTTGGTGAGTTCCACCGGATACTTCGTATTTCGCAACATGTGACGCACCGCGCTTCTGGACGGTTTCGTTCGACGTTTGTGTGTGATGCGAGTCTGATTATTAGTGAACGACAGGAGGAGAGAATTTATTTGATGGCAAGGTATACTTTATATTCGCATGCGAGTTGACTACGAGGGAATAGTTAGTTTTTACGTAGCTTCTGTACTATACGTAAAGATCTACGCTACAAGACGTTTTATATCATACGACCTTACACGTACAAGTCTATAAATAGCAAATATAAAACTGCAAAAATACCCCTAACTTGATGAGATACAAAAGAAAGTATCTAATCTGTGTTAAAACTATTACGTGACGTTGGTCCGCCGCCGTCGATTAGCGCTAAATGTGTGTCCACTTAATCGTTTACAACTCGCAACGAATATCGTCCTACGTTATTTAACAAATTTAATAGAAGGGCGAACACATTTCGCGCTAATTGGCACCGCGGAACTCACTATTCACATTAGACCGATCCCGGCTTATTTGCTCAAGTGTAACGTGCAATCAGCAGAAGAAGAATAAGGATGTTAAGTAGGATAAGTAAGAGGTTCATGTATAAAATTAATATAAATAATTAATTGGAAAATATTTATATATACTTTACGATTAATCATTATAATCATACATTATATATATTATTTTAATATATAATAAGTTATTATATATATATATATATATATATAATTCTGCAAAAATTAAATACTTATTTTTCTTAACGTCTTTACGCTCTTTCTGTGCTGATTGCGCGTTACATACGTTAAACGAGTAACCCGAAATCGATCTGGTGAGTGGCAAAGTGTCCGCGATTCCGAGTGTACGACGGAAACACTAGCCGTTGCATCGTGCACATACACTACACACACGAATGTGTTCCGTCTATCGAGGCATCAAATGTCGCGATATACAAATCGCCGTGACATTGAAAACGCACGATGTCACGCTGTATTGCGACTGCAAATGTCACGAACTCACAGGAGGTAGGCTCGCTAATAATAACCGCGCTCGTCGAGAACGCAGCGATATTTCCCGCCGCGAGAACGCCCTTCCTTTCGCCGAACATCGATATACATCGTCCGTGATTTTGACAATTCGAGAACGAAAAATCTCAGGATAGTCGCGTATCGCGGCGAGGTCCAAGCGCTCACAAATTCGTCCAGAAGTCCGTCCAGAATACTCGCACGATACTCGCGTCGTGGCGTATTTAACGCTACTCCGGGGGATCTAAAATCATTTGAGAGTGATTCGATTTTCAAACGGGGTCGACTTATTCTTACGAATCGTCGCAACTTGAACTTGATGTTCTTGTACCGAGATTCTCATTGGAGAGCGGAACATCGTCTTGGTCGAGGTCTCATCGCCGCGTTCACCGAGAGTGCGCATTTTTGTCAGCGGTTAGCTCGCACGCAGATATTACGCGAAGATGCGCGCCTAGAGACACGAAGGTTCGTTAATGCGGCGGTAGGTAGCTGCGGTCGACATTGGACGATGTCAACTTTGGCGGCAGGTATGTAGTGCCTCCTCCCGGCGCACCTGGCCTCGAGTCCCCCACGTTGATGTGAGACGTCGTTCCGCCGGTCGCGGCGGCGCCCAGCCTGAAACCAGCTCGATTCCCGTTCTCATCCGCGACGTAACTGCGGATGCAAACATTGACAGTTGGCGTTTACGATATACCTCTCTGACGTTGCATCAGTATACTTCTGTATTTACGTGTCTAACGTTCAAGTGCTGCGTATGAGAATGTATAATGTGTGGAACGTACATGTGCGGAAGAGCGGACGAAGCGAAAGCGTCCTATTGTTCTCGCGTAAAGCACGCTGTAATTTCCGGGCATGCGTGATATCAGTATAATAAAATCGCAAAGACGCGAGAGAGAAAGAGAGAGAGAGAGAGAGAGAGAGAGAAATCTTAGTGAAATAAATATCCACGAGGAATACCAGCGCGACCTTTCGCGCCTTCCTCGCGGCTATTTCGTGCTACGTCACCCTTTGCGTCTTCCTTTGCCTGCGCCGCGAGCGATGTTCTACGAATTTTGCGTTATCGCAACTAAGCGTGTCCTTACTTCACGGAGACGGGGATCCCTTCGGGGCTCCTGTAGGAGAAGTGTCCCTCCACCACCCGGACTAATTCGCCGTCCACGAGCTTGAAGCTGGCGATCTCCTCCCTCTCGACGCCGTCCTCGCTGACGGTGTTCGTGGAGACCGCCGGACTCGTCGCCACACTTCGTGCACTCTCGAACGGCGGCTTCAGGATCAGACCTCCGGAGCCGCGGGCGAACAGCGGCGCCTGCTGATCGGGCGACAGTTTCTCAGCCGGGAAGCACGCAGGGTATGACAGCAACCACCAGACCTGCAAAGCCGACGACTGGTTTCTGCAAGAGCGTCCTGACTTTTTTCGGTGAAGTTTTCACGAATCTGCTTCGCGCATTAACTCTTTGAGCCATGAATTTTTCCTTTTAACCGATTTTCTATAAAACTTTGCATCTAGGGGTTTTCAGTCAGATTTTCGAAATTCAAAATGGCGTAGAAATTTGGGTTTTTTAAAATTGCCACTGTAAAATTGTCGCTGTATTGAATCAGCCATCGTGAATTTTAAAAATTTGCTGATGGATTCATCATTAGAGACCCAAAAAACCCCTCAATACTAATTTTTCTAGAAATTGAAGTTTTTTTTTTAAGTTTTCCGTCCGATGTATTGAATTGGTCATCTTGGGTTTTGAAAATCTGACAACGGATTCGTAATCAGCGCCCCAAAAAAATCCCTGCGTATCAATTCCCAGATAAAAATAGTTAATTCTTCGCCTTACCATACTTTATTTATTCTAAAAACATTTTATTATGTTTACTTATTTACTATTGGCAATAATAAATTTAAAGAATTTATAAGTAATCACAATTATTTCACATTAGTTAGGGTCTTAAGAAGCTAGAAAATATAATTGCTAAGAAATCGATCATTAAAACTGCTCATAAAATATAAAAAACTGACGGAATGTAGATGAGTCTCCGGGTGTCCGCCTGCGCCGCAAAGGGTTAAAAACGGCGATTTCAATCTGAGTTCAATCACAAAGAACGTCCTGGAGGGCCCTCGGAAGTGCGGCAACAATGATTTGGAGCAATTGTTCGCTGAGAATTCAGCACAAACGCAAAAAGAGCTTGCAGAGCAGTAACAAACCATCTCCAAACGCCTACACGAGATGGGGAAGATTCAGAAAGAAGGAAAAGGAAAGGTTTCGCATGAACTCACTGAGAAGCCAACAAACATCAACGAGTGCGGCAGTGTGTCTTTCTCTTCTCAATAAGCAGCATAGAAAGTCTCTCTTGTGGAAAATTGTTACAGGCGATGAGAAGTGGATACTCCATGACAATCCGAAACGCAGAAAGTCATGGGTAAATCCCGGCGAACCATCAATATCGGTCGCAAAGCCAAAACACTCCGGAAAGAAGATTCTGCTCTGCATTTGGTGGTGGCGGTGTATGAAGGGTGTGATTTATTATGAGCTATTAATACCGAACACCAATTAATCCGTTTGAGTCAAGAATTGGAACGAAAACGCCCATATAGCATAACGCCCATAGGCAAAGGAGAACGTCCTGTGAAATTGTTGCATGATGACGCTACCAGGCCACACAATGGCCGCATTCAGCAGAAAAAGCTGCTTACTAAGCGCTTAGTGATTATCGTTTCTGATTCGTTCATTCCCCTGGATTTGTTAAAGATCTAAAAGAATACTCCAATCATAGATAATGATCACTAAGCGCTTAGTAAGCAGCTTTTTCTGCTGAACGCGGCCGTTGCTTCTACGACAAGAGTCATCACAATGAGACTTGGCCGGGAGTCTTGCAGCACGGCCGGCGTATTCATTCAGACATCGCTCCTACCCGATTACCACTTATAATCCGGTCGACGCACAGCATGCCTTGTCCGACACGCGCTTCAAATCAGTGGATGAGGAATCCGAAAATGGCTTGACGACACAAGGGCTTTTCCGACATGGGATTCATCAGCTGCCTGGAAGACGGCTTAAAGTTATAGAAAACCGCGAAAACGGCGAATACTTTGATTTCGACGAATCTGTTTTACTTTCTCTTAAAATAAACCTTGAATTTAGCGGCAAAATTTGGATTATTCATTTGTACACTTAATATTTTGTCACTGCACAAGCGAGCCCGCTTACTTGTGGACTTTCCGTTTCTCCGTCAAGCCCCGACAAATCCATTCCGCCCACAAAATGAAATCCGTTGCGAATCACCAGATAGATTCGCTTATCTTCGACCCGCATTCTCCTCGACGTCTGGTCACGCGCACAAACCTCTTCATTCACGCGGGTACGCGGCCCCCCGGGGAGCCTCGCCGCGGGTGACCTCGCGACCGGCGCGCCGGCGATCGCGAGAGTCGCGCGCGAGTTGGATAATCGGCAATCGCTATTCATCAAGAAGCGCGGCGGCGACGGCAACGGCGACGGCGACGGAGGATCCCTCGAAAAAGGACACTTTCTACTGAATCGCTGACCGTAGCGCTTCGGGGCTTAATAACCGGCCACAGGCGCGCGAAGGCGCGACGGGAATTTCAGCGAATCGCGCGCGTCGTTTCGCAGGCAAGATGAACTTTCAACCCCCCTGATACGCGCTCCGCACGCGGCGTCGCTATTGCGAGAGAGCCGTCCGTCTTTAATCGGCGGGACAGAACTGGTTCCTAAAATGATTACGCGCAGCCGGCCACACGTGTTATTAATCGACTTCGAGCGCGTGAGGGTGAAAGGGGCGGAAGAGAGGAGAGAGAGGAAAAGGTCAGGGAAAAGAAAATCCGCGCTCTCGGTGCGTCGCGACGCGCGACAGACTCTTTTCGACATCGACCGGCGTGTCATTAATGCGATTAGTCGTTTAATTATTATTAATCGACGTGATAAAACGACGGGGAGGGGTGGGGAAGGGAGAACGACTCACCGGCTGTGAGTTCCAAGTGACGTGCCGATTTGTCGAGTCTCCTCTCGTCTCGTCCGTTTCCTCGTCTTCAGTTCTTCGTTCTCCGCGAGGAACTTCCGCGAGCCGCGAGCTTCCAGCCGACACGCACGCGATAACGGACCGCGAATTTTAACACCCCGTTCACATTTGCGCTCGAGTACGAGCGCGTGTCAATTTGCGCGTCGCACGTGCGCCTTCAGGAATATCGATTCTTCCGGAAAACTTTTCTCCTGGAACCTTTCACCCATCGTATTACGCCGCAACACACGCGATGCCACGATGTTGAGGCTTCCGGAGCTGTCGGAGCTTCGTGTCCGACCACGAAATCAAACGATTCACCCGCAGGTTCGAATTAATAAAAGCCGCCGTTAACCAGGCCGCAGGCGCAGGTGCAAATGCGTCGCGCCACCCGATGCGACTCGAGGTTGCACGACGCGCGTGAAATTTACGAGCGATGTGCTCGCTCGAGCTATGAGGCTACGCGCAACAACGCAGCATCCACACACGAGGAAGGCTCCGACCGCGACCGGTAGCACGAGCGTCTTTCTCTCTCTCTCTCTCTCTCTGCACGTTCTCCAGCACGCGGGGAATCCCAACGAGGAGTGATTTACGACGAGGCGACGCGCGTCGCGATCTTAAGCGGCGGATTCTCTTATTTGCCTCGTTGAGCGCAGCGCCGGATCTTAAGCTGCCTTCAAGAGCAAGGCAGCTCCACTGCTCTTTCCATCCCCTTACCACCTCCGCGTCGAAAAAACGGTTAAAACGACGCGGAAACGAACCATTGCACCATTCTTATTGGTAATCGAAGCGACGTAATTAGATCGGTACGATGGTCGTAGTGACATGGAAGATCATCATCACTCCGCACAATGTGGGAAATGCTTGGCTCGGGATAACGCGTGGACCTTCACGAACGATTAAAATGTACAGCATGAGAGCGATGGATGGACTGTAGCTACTAACGATAGAGTAATTCACGACAAACGCGACAATTGAAATCATGCGAAAGGTTATGACAATCCTGCACTACGACTGTTTATAATAACGACACTCTTCCAAGATGACGCGAGTGCGCGGGCTCCTCGTGAAATGTTTAGCTTCTACAGGGACAATCGCGTGGAACTTTAGTCGCGTGGACGTTTTTCAATTATAAGTATCGTAGCACACACGGAAAAGTGAAATCCCCGGCCCTGCGGTCCCGACGAGGATTTTTCCTCAGGTTCGCATTATACAGGTGTTGAAATTTCTCCGCGGGACGTACCAGCGAGTGGACGATCCTGCGATAAACCATCGTGGCTGTCAGTTACGACAACAACGGCGATGACAGCGACAGAGAATGCAGCGGGGATGACGAAGATGAGGATGAAGAGGACACTTCGCACTGCGGCATCACCCGGCACGCGTCTCGATATATCGCGGCCACCCTGTAGCACAAGCAGAATCGTATACCGTGGTCCTGTCGGCGAATCCGTGCTCCTGCAGGTCCCCAGCTTTTATATACCTGGTGAACGACGGCGGACGCGTCGCTCTTCTCCCTCTCTTCGTCCTTCTCTTCGCCCGCGAAGAGGCGATCCGCGCCAACGGCTACCGTCGTCCGCTCGCGACTCGCCAAACGCGAACAATCGTTCGTTTTGTGCGTCGCGTAGGTGGGTGTGCGCGTGTATGTATGTGTGTGTGTGTGTGCTTCACGAGCCTTTAACATTGTTCTCCAAGTTGGCGAACCGACAGTCGAGCAGTCACTCGGGAATACGGGGATGGATGCGAAAAGCCACATTGGCGATCTCGAGCACGCGTCGAGCACAGTCAGTCACCTCAAGTGAGTTCTCTTCCTTCATTCCTGCGACAAGAATGTCAACGTACTCCTGCCCCATTGTCGTCCGTCGATTCTCATCTCTCGCTCATTTATCATTCGCTATCGTACGATACCAGTACGAGATGAGGATGAAAGATTACGGCACTTCCACCTTCCACATGAGTTTCGCAACGCATTCCGTGTCTGATAGGAAAATTTGTCCCCCGCGGTTATCAGAAAAGATGCACTTTCCTAACGAACACGCAAGATGAATTGCGAAATTCATTGAGGTGAAGTGTCGCAACGCGTTACTTTCCGATCTCGTTCAATTATAGTATATTGTTATACCTATAATAATAATTTCTAATCTCAAGCAGAAGTACCCGGAGTTCACATTATCATCACACGCAAGGATTGCGAAGACCCGACTGTAGCAACACGAAACCTGCCTCGACATTTTTATGAAGGGGAGATCCTTAATAAAGTCGCGCTCGATGGGGCGCGCGCGGCTATGGATTTATGAGCGAGGGTTAATCTCAGCTGTCCTCGCCGCTCATTACGGGAATAAGAGAGGAGCTTCGTCGCGGCGCGCGAATTTTATTCGCGGCGCGGGATAAAGTGACGTTACGAGGACATGCGTAAGCGAGCGCCGCCGCCGTCGCCGCGGCGGCGGCGGCGGCGTCGCGTATCCTCCAGCGCACGGTTGCACCTGCGATCGTGTGCGGATCGTCGCATGCGGGATTTATCGCCGGCGATTTAAAGGCCAGCGTCGTCACGAGCAGGCCGCGCGCGCGCGCGCGCGATCTGGCTCGTTTAAGGGCACGCGGACGAACACAATGCGATCTCTGAACCTTTAATAGGATGCGCCTGCCGCCGTTTCTTCTGCTGACATTTTATTTCTGTCGCCGCGCGCGATCGCACGCCGCCGAACCCATCCTGCGAGCATTCCGCGGCGACTCGCGAGCAACAGTAGCGATCGGCACGATTGATATCGGGATCCGCCGATCGACCGAGTCGCCTCGGAAAGGAAAGGTAAGGTAAGATAAGGTAAGGTAAGGTAAGGTAAGCCGTTCCATCACGCTTAACGAAGCGAGTCCTTTCCGTGCCTCCTGAGAAAAAGTGAAAAAAAAGTGAAGCAGATGCACTTGGTGCGAAAGGTTTTACCCGTCCTCAGTCCCTTCGGTCCCTTCGACGAGCATCATTTGTCATCTGACAGGCGCTTCGATCGTTATGAAAATGCCGCGCACGTTAATTGTCACAACTCGGGGGAACGATAACGTGACAACACGATTGACACAACGCAGCGACATAATCACGCATTACGCGTATACGAGATGACAAGAAAGTGAATTTCTGTTTTATTAGGGATACCGGAAAGCTTTCCCGCGTCCTTCGCTTGGTTCAAACGTTGCCATTTTTCAAGAGTAAGTTCGATCTTAATAAAAGTTGATATATGCAATAAAGAAATGTTGTTAATTATAAGCTGGAATTTAAATTAATCCTGAATTAAAATTTAGTACCCGTATCACAACCACGGAAATTAAAGGCTTCACTATTCGAGGGCATTATTTATCGGCATTAAATTCCGGCGAATTTCGGACAAACCGATGACACTCGTAAGAATCGAATGAGAACATTTTTCTATCGACTTGCACTTGACTTTTCCTCGTGGTGGACATCGTCGTTACGTCGTGCGGGAGGGAGGGAGATTGCCACGGGATAGCGTCTGTCGGACGACATCGTGACCCAAAAGTTCAGCGAGGAACGCGTGCCATAACTAGGAAGACAGCAATTCCCAGATTGTTCAATGTAACATAACGTAACGCAACGTAACGTAACGTTAACCGGCGACCGAGGAGATGCCATCACTCTCGCGGTTGCGTAACTTTGGCAAAAGGTTCGATACACCTCCTCTCTCGATGAGAGGAGAGAGACTCGCGAGAGGACATACAAAAATATCCTTGCGCAACGCCACAAGCGTGCACAAGCACGTACGCGCGAGATTATAGTCCGGCGCACGCAACTACGAGATAAATAAAGTATCGCTCGTCGACGAAGTTCGCGTGGTCGCGCGTCGCGCCGGTTGCACCGCAATTGTTGTCCAGTTATCTTGATTTATCTGTCGGCGCTTTTTTTTCACTCTCGCTGAGGCGGATAGTTGCAGCGAAGGAAAAATCGCCGAGGGCTGAGCGTCGGCACCGAGGGCGAAACGCTAATTTGCAAGCGTCATCGAGATTTATGTCTCATTATTTTTCACTCACGGGAGCCGATCGACGAGGAATTCAACGGGGCGCCGAACGATAACTCCGGGGGTTGATCGTGATTTATCTAACGCTATCTCTCTCTCTCTCTCTCTCTCTCTCTCTCTCGTTCTCCCTCACGTCAAGTAGAGTGTTGAAACTTCAAGTGATCTATAACTCGAGAATTTCATCTCGAATTTTATCTCGAACGTTTTTCTACAGGTAACATTTTCTATCGCGGCTCATAAATCGAGACGTCCGAGAGCGGCGCTTAAATCAGCGGAACCTCGATGGGTCTCACAGGGGACATTCAACGAGAAAAATCATTTTTTACTAAAGATTTTTCAAAGGATAAATTGTCCGATCTCAAAATTCAATCCGAATTCATCGAAGTAACAATGCTACAATCTTTCTGCCAGTGATTTTTATATATATCTGTCGCTACTTTTCATTCGCGAGAGCGCCGATGACCGCGAATCGAGAAGCAAACCGGAAATGATTTATTATACTTCTCGTAATAGATTACGCGATATACGAACAAAATGCGCGTGAAAAATTCTCCAAGGACAAGCGCGCGTTACCTTAACTGATGTTTATGCAAACGATTCGAAAGCGCTGCGTTTGTGAAAGAGTTTAGAGGAGCGCCGGACGTTGACCATTGGTGTACTCGATCATCGATTTATTAAGATTCCGCAATCTCGTTCGTTTCTTCTCACGGCGTGATGTACCCAAATGTCAACACCGCGGACACCTCGTCGTATCGCGTATCGGTAAGAAGGGGGGGAGAGAGAGAGAGAGAGAGAGAGAGAGAGCCCGTTAGATTAATCTTTAACCCGCGTTATTATAATTTCACGATCTTCGTCGATCGTTCTCAAGTGTGACGATCATTTGCAACTGAGCAAAAATCGGTGACTGTCGCGATTGAAGATATCCTCGCTGTTCTTACGAGGCCTTCCATCGGTGAAAGTGACGATTTAAAGGTTTAGACATCGACAAATCCATCGTTCGAAGCTATGTCGTATGAAAAGTGGTATTTCGCACATTTCACGTCTAATCAAAATTCAATTAGACTCATTTAAACTAGATAATGGTCGTGATTCAAGATACCGTCGTTGTTTTTTTTTAAATCTTCCATCGGTGAAAGTGACCACTTGAACATTTCGGTAACGTCAGGTACCTTCCCTGAGGCTATATGAAAAATGGTATTTCGGATATTTCACGCTCAATTAAAAAAATATTCAACGATGCTGTAACAAGTTTCTTTCTCTCTCTCTCTCTCTCTCTCTCTCTCTCTCACTGAAATATTACGAGTTCATTAAACGGAGGATATCTTAAAAAACAACGATGATACATCATTTTCGTTACTTGATCTAACAAAATGTACAGAATTACACAAGATGATGATAATGCACATGATAATGGTATCAACCAATAAACAAATAATGGATAATTGAGAGATGTGTTGCAAATAAATAAATGAAGTAAAACAGCTTCTTCAAAATTGAACGTCTCATGTTATTCTGGCTGCGATCCCTTCGCGCGGTCTAGTAACCGCCGCGTTCGTCGGTCGTTATTTTTAACTGAATCATTCTCACCGCATCATACGCGAGTGCATCGCGGACACGATCGAGGAGGGCTCGTGAATGAAACGAGTAACGGTATGCACGGGGGGCACGCGTGTAATGTGCGGGTATCGTGACTGTGATTACAGCTGACATACTTTCGCGTATCGATCGCACCTAAGCAGCCGGCTGCCTGCGAGCCGATAAGCCGTAACCGGCGCTCATTTAACGATAATTAACACGAAGGATCATTATTAATTGGCGAAAAGACGAGCGAATATAAATTGACAGCGCGATACCGTTGAAATTTTCCGGGCGAATAATGACGGCGAAAGATATACGCGGAATTACGCGGACGAAATAAAATCAGCATGGAAAATGTGTGCAAAGCGATCGAGACAACGGGGTAACGCTTGGCACGAAAATTAAGAGGTAACGACGAATCGAGAGACGCGGAAGCAAAAATACAGCCCTCCGTCTCACTTTCTAATGCGAGACTTTTCGTTGAAATGAAAGAAAATCGGACGATTCAGGCGATTTACCTGTGCGCGGTGCGCATTGCTGACCACCGTTATTAACGGGGATAAACCTCGATGATTCTCGATCTTACATCAAATCCAAAGGTTCATCTCGCGAGAGAGATTTCCGGACGTAGGTATTCCGATTAATTATGCGACCGATGCGATTAAATACCGCGCGATAATGACAAATCGATAATTCACGAGGCGTAAGTAACGATGAGGCATCGAATAGTCGTCGATTTCCTAAATGAATAGCGGGATCATGTGAGGCATAACGACGGGAAAGCTCTCCACGGGGTCGTTACACCGTTACGGCGAATCAATCACTGGCGAAGCGCCAAGTATCGGCAAGCCGGTTAATGTCCGCACAGAGGAGCGCATCTCGCATCGCGGATCTGGGACAGACTCGACTCTCGATAAGGAGACGCGCCATTACCGCGTTCGCAATATCGACTAACATAATCCAGTCGTCAGCTATTTCATCGCTCGGCTCTTCATGCTAGTCTCTTCGTCGGCGAAAGGATCGCGCGGGTTGCAAGAAGGGTTGCCAACCGCCCGGTTTTGACCCGGACTGTCAGATGTTTCAGATGTCTTGTCCAGTGTCCGGTTGATAAGTCAAATTACCGGACGTCATATGTCCGGTTTTTAAGTTATATCCAATCAATGGAATGAGAGGATTCAGAATTTAGCGACGTTTCTCCGTTTCAAGCGCCTACAAACGATCGAGCCCCACTCAAAAAGCCATCTAGTAGATGCTCTGCCGATTCATCATTCCATATATATTAAAAAAGTAATAGCTTATTATTTTATTCAATCAAGTCTTGTTTATAAAATTGTTTGGAAATTAATATTGCAAATAAATCCTTGTCATATTTTGTATTTAATGTAACGTTATGATTATTATTTCTGTCCGGTTTGGGTTTGTTACCGAAGAAGAAATGTCCAGTAATTTTTACGTATTTTTGGACTCGGCAACTCTAGTCGCAAGCTCGTAAGCGCCCATGATCGACGACACGATTGGGCGGCGAGAAAAGACGCGGGAAAAGAGCAGCGGAAAATCGCGAGACTGCGCGACTTTGTCTCGCGCGACGAGCCAGTAGTCTGCAGATCAAAAGTCACGTACGTATTAACTTAACCCTATTCACCGTGTAGGCGAACGCAAATTGGACTTGTAGCAAAACCAACATGATTTTCATATTCGCGTCATCTTAATCCTGACATCATTTCACCGTCCACAGTCTGTCGACTGGTGAATGAAGACGTTCGCTCGCCGAAGAAGAAACGAATCGTCTTGGCTTGCGAGACTTATTCCGCGATTTCACACGCAGAATTCCCACTCGAGACTGCTTTCCCGAATCCGCGAGAATGACATCCCACGGCATGTCGAGAGGTATTCCCTCCTGACCGCTTCGGTAGAAAGTTATTTGACCGGGAATGATATTTACCGGCGAGAGCGGCTGTTAATTATTATTAAGTCATTGCAACTTTGATGAATGGTGTGTGTGTGTGTGTAGAGGCATCTCAAATTACCTCGAATCGGCCACCTCGCGAGTTTGATTAATAATTCACCTTGCACAAGCTAGATATTCCTCTGGGGGGGCGAGGGGCGAGGGGACTCGGCCACACTGTATGCTGAGTCACTGCACGGCGAGGCACGGCGACATGAATTTTTATCGCTTGTCCCGTGGAATTTACAGCCATGCAATCGTGATTGATTTCGCATTATCTGAAAAGGAAGGACCGAGAATCCTCGAATATCGAGAGTTCGGGGGAGGCGGTGGTGGGAAACGGTCGGCCTCCGAGGACGGCTGATTCGTGGAGGACGCGTTGATTATTCACGCGTATCTTATGAATTTGTAGAAACCGTATCGTCCCGCGCAATTCACCTCGCTCATTCACAAAAATTCATCTCACGAGTATTTGCCAGAAATTTCTCGGACCCGACTCCGATACTCCGTCCTCGCGAGCCTTGCCGTTGGTGTCGGGGTTCACTTCATTCTTCATTCGCTCATTTCCTCTCTTGTCTCTCTCTCTCTCTCTCTTTTTTTTTTTAACAAGACATTTAATATTCGTTTAATATCTGTAAGCTCAGCAGAGTCAACATTTTGCGTGGGAACAGACGTTAAGAGGTTCTCGTGTGTAGGTATTCGCGCGTTTACAGATTCTTCTTCTCGTTTCGCACTGCGCTACGCAAATCACGCGCTCAATCACGGCTCTTCGCGGCACGCGAAATGTACGGATGTATCTGGATCCTTCGAGAGCCCCGTGTGATGGAGGACCCGAGTCCGGAGGATTACCAACACAAGCTGAAGAGAGCGCGTTGCCGGAAATAGAAAACGAAAAGGAAAGAAAGAGTAGGAAAAGTAAAGAGACATATCGTATCTCTCGCGCGTACGCTTCTCACTATTTCCTATACGAGGCTGAGAACAAATATTCTATCGGTATCTCGTTTTCTTCTTTGAAGAGCACAGCAGTTCTTTTTCGCAAGCGTTTCGAAAATAAAGAGAGATCGACGATCGAGCGGGTTTAGTCGCTTCGCGGTGCGTGCACCTTGGACGCGATACGCCTCGGTTGCATTGCACGCGACGAATATCGCGTGCAACCGGAAGATTTTTATACGACGTTTTGTCGACGATTTATCATCCAAAGAGGCATTCCGAGGAATCGCCGCCACGAGGAGTTAAGCCTTCCCGGTGACCCTCGACTAGTTTGCAACGAGAGAATTGCTCTCGTCCGTTGAAATTCGCCGATCGCGGAAGCGAAGCGGCACCGAGACGGATCTCTCCTCACTCGAGAGCGGCAGTTTAATTAGGAAAATAGTATCTACGACATCGTCCGAACAATCCGGTTTCTCTCTTCCTCTCCTAGATAAGTAGATTCACCTCCTATCTCTTCTCGGCACATCGCCACGTACTTCCGCTTCGCCGATCGATCAGGGTGAGCCGAGGGTAGTCGGGGTAGGCAGGTGATGCCAGAGCATCAGACACGCGTCTCCGCCGGATGTATTGATCCGATAGTATTGAACTTTAACGGCTTGAAATCTTCGCGACTTCGACTTCTCAGAGGTCTTTGTAGTCCACCTCATTATTCATGACCGGGCTTGCTCTGATCGATCGCGGAGAGAATTCTGATTAACGCAGGTACAATACGAGAATCATGGGCGTCGTGAGAAAAGTGCAAGGGGCCTAATTAAAATCACCGTCTCTCGACGAAATAAAATGACTGCTCACCGCGTCGGTGAGAGTGACTGTTCGATCGCCGTTTAAAAGCCTTCTTCGTGCGTCTATATTGAGAACTTGTGTTATCAATGTATTAATATAAATGATAAAAATATCAATACACACACACACTCTCTCTCTCCTCCTCTCTCTTTCTTTCTCATAAAATATATTCAATTCTCGTTTAGGACTACGAGCACAGAATTTGGGATTTTATGAAAAACTCACAAATAGTTTGCGCTTAGTCTTTTAAAACGAAGAATTAGCCTGATTTCTACAATTCGTCCAAACGTACAAAAATTCTGTAGAAACTTTAAATTGTACAGCTTGACTCATTGATTCGATTCTTAGTATAAAAATTGCACATAAAACGTACTTCGGCACGCATAAAATCGAAGCTCGATTAAAACAAATGACTTCGTACGAGCGAGCTCCCGTGAAGTATTCCGGCGGCGCCCATGACGATAATTAACAGAATGCACTCAGGTGCTCGATCATACTCTCGCCGATCGAACTCTCAGTGTGTTCAAAGGCGCAACTCTGTTCACCATGAGGGAACATCGACGTAAGAAAAGTTTACTCTCTCGATGATAGTGCGAAGAGAAGGGCCAATTGGAGCGTGAACGCAGTTATAGACGTGGAAACACATGCGAGAACTTTAAATATTGTCGAGAACGAGCATCGACCAAAGAGAACGCTGAATGCTGAATTTAATTTCTTTTCAATCGATTTCACTTAACCTGTTCTTTCTAATCGGCCCTCCTCTGCATTTTTTCCGTGATTTTGCATGGTACAGCCTTCTCTACGAAACAATTCTCTCGAAATCGTCATCAAAACCGCAGTATCGAAATCGAAAATCGAGCGCCTCGAGAAGAATTATTATTAAAAAGAAAAATCACCGCTCTTCGATCGGTGTTGAATTTCGTTGAAATCAAGGGCTAACTTACCGAATCGAGGGACGACCAATGGTTGGCCCAACGACGTCCTGCAAGAGACGTGTTCGGGATCGAATTTATTTAGAACAGCGTCGCTTGCTGACACGTAAAAAGCGCTATCCGTACCCGCGCGGAAACAATCCTCTTTTCAGCAGATTCCGTGGGTAAAATTAAGAACGCCATCAACGAGCTGCCTCAATCAGCCTCATCGTCCGCAAGTTCATCTGCCTATTCGACACGGAGTTTTCATTCTTCTACGTGCGTCACTCGTCTCGCGAACCGTTCGGTGAGGATATTTCGTAAAAACTCTAAAATATATCACGTTGAAAATCAGCTTCTCAAACTAAGTTTCTCTCGCGCATACGAAACGACAGAGAGGGAGAAAGAGAGAGAGAGAGAGAGAGAGAGAGAGAGAGAGAGAGAGAGAGAGAGAGAGAGAGAGAGAGAGAGAAAAGAAGAATTTTACCCACGAAAGCCCACGTACACACGTTCTTTCAATCGCGACTAATTCAAGTCAAACAGTAGCTAGACGCGCTCATGGACGTGTAGTGAAAACCAAAAGGGACTACATTCGTGAATCAAAATTGGAAAAATCGACGGAAGAATGCGCGTTGTTGCAAAAGAAGGTGGATCCAGTACATTTCGCATAGACAACGACGTTTAACGCGTTGAACACCACTCGTAGAGTGCATTAAAGAAAGAGCGATTGAAGCTGCCGCCCTCGTGTTTGTCCGTCGGGAACGATGGTTGTGTGTGTGTGTGTCTGCTGTTCGCACCGAGATCTAACGGACGAATCACGTGCCCCCGCGAAACTTTACATGCCTTGTCGCGCACTTTCTCTCCCTATAGTCGTTTTATTCATCATTCCTCTCTTTCTCTCTCTTTCTTCCTCCTTGCTTCTCTCTCTCTCTCTCTCTCTCTCTCTCTCTCTCTCTCTCTCTCTCTCTCTCTCTCTTTTCCTTTCTCTCTCTCATTCGCACACATTCTCACGCATTCTCTCTCTCTCTCTCTCTCTCTCTTTCTCTCTCTCTCTGTCTCGCTTTCGCTCGCGCGCACGATGCATCCTCGAAATCACGATAATCCTGACGATAATTAACCACGATAGTAAAAGCATATAAGCTATACAGCTACCATTCTGTATCTACAATGTAGTTTTGTATGTATAATATATATATATAATATATATATATATTTCTCTGTTTTCTCTCTCCCTTCGCTTTTTTTCTGTCCTGATCTCTCTCTTCCTTCCGCGTTCCATAAACGCGTCACAATCTCGAGACGCGGTTCAATATCCATTCGCGCACTGACGTATCCCACGTGTTTCATCACGTGGATCCCGAAATCCTGTCTCTCGTTTGGAAGCCGAGAGAGTATCCTGCTGAGAGTGCAATCTTCCTTGACAAGAGGGTCAGCGACCTGCCAGAGATTATTCTTCGCCCGTGTCATCGTTTTGCACTTCTGTCATCAACGTTTCGCCGATACCTCGCGCGTTCGGAAATAGCCTTCTCGTTTCCTTCGAAATATCTCTTCCATCGCATCTTCTCATCTCGCTGAGACTTCTTCATGATTACAAGATACGAACTGTCTTTTCAAAATCTCACGAAGAATCTATATTTTGGATTCTCAGAGATCCAATGTGGTGACATTCTCTCGTGGCTGAAAGACTCTTTTCATTTCCAACCACTTTCCAATCATTTTTCAGGTTGAACCTCGTCGACACAATCTCGAAGCGAGAAAAGACATTTTCCTTTTTCGAGAAGTGATTTTCCAAATTCATTCTTCAGGTCCCAAACGAACTACTGCCGCCATCTTGTCGTCGTCGCTTTCCTCATGCTCGGAACGTTCAACGGCATCCTCTTCGAGACGATTCTATCGTCCGAGAGTCCTGCTACTTCGTCGACGCGTCGACGTCTCGAGCCGTCTCCTCTCTCCCCGACGCTTCGAGTTGCCCAGAGCGGCGACTCTTCGGGTCGTCGAGGCTTCCTCCCGAGGAAGTCGCGCTGCGTCGTTCCTGAAGTCACGCTCTCGACAGGGCAGAGAAGGGTCCCGTCTCGCGTGCGCGTCCCCGCCGCCTCCGCCGCGCGGTCATTACTGCAGCACGCAGCACTTACACTTAGCCTTCTTCTTCAAGGTGACGTGCTCGACCTGCGACGCGTCACCCGGGCCCTGCGCCGTCATCCTTGCGACCTCCACGGTCGCGGTCCTCGCCGCGCCGACCTGAAACCATCAACATACGTATCCTTGTCAGGTACAACTGTGAAAAAATATCGTACGAAGAATGTAGAAATTACATAAATGACAGAATTAATAGGAATATAAAATTTTCACTAAAAGACACATTAACTTAAATCAATTCAATGCGAAAGAGAGTTGTAAAGTCAACTTGATAAAAAATTTCATAATCGGACTGTTTAAAATATAAGAAAAAAATATTTACAAAGCAGACTTTTCAAATTATGGATATAGTATTTTAATAATTTTAATAACATATAAAATACATACACACATTCATCTATACAATGTGTTCATCCTCAACTTCAAGAAAACCGTTAAATCGCAACATTCCTACAGTTCTCCCAATTTTACCGATTTTCCGAGTTTGAAGGAAGTTTCGACTATCGTTCGGCGAAGTCATTCGATCTCCTTGCTCACCTTTTCATTGACGGCCTGCTGATTGCTGACATTAGCGACCTTAGCTGGGGTGCCGTGAGCATTGCCGTTTTCTTGGCCGGGCCTCGGCGACGAGTTGGCGTGGCAATTCGCGGACTTGAGGAGCGGGCTGGTACTCGAGGGATCGTGCTCGCCGCCGGCCGACGTTTTGCTGCCGGCCTCGCATCCCGGCAACGGCGGCGCGTTCTGACCCGGGGTCGGCGTGATCGGCTTCCCGCCCTTTATCAGCTCCACGATCTCGTCAGCTTCCCTGGAGAGGTCGCCGTCCGGCCTGAACGGGTTGTCCCAGCCGCTGTCCGTGCTGAAATCAGAACACAGCTTCCGCATTCAGTACAGTGCCATTCGAAGGAGGATTGTCGTGATTTGGCGCGAATATAGTTCGTTCTTTCCTTTCTTTAGTTCATTCATCTTGGAATCATGTGGATTCATGTGGATCAGGAGTTGATTCGAAAAAAATAATTAATTAGCGTTAATAGAATTGTATCCTAATCGCTTATCAAGACCCAATTCGTTCGTTTGTCACGATCTTACGGTCTTTCGACGGTAATCGTTGGCGCGATTGATCGGTTGATTGACCGCATGAGGGAAGACGCGGATACGCGGGAAGAGAGCCAAGAGAGGGCTTCCTTCCTTCACGGCTCGTTCTCCCCGGGTTCCTAATTAAATTCCAATTCACGGATTGCTAATCGCGGGCGCACGCACGGCTCGCGTTCGGCACGAGGAGAGCCCGGGGCGTCGCAGCGTGCTCTCAAGCCGCGCTATATAGATAAGATAGACGAAGTCGCAACGTGCGCGGGCGGCTTTGCGCCTGGCAAGTAATTATGTAATTACCTTGAAGAACATGGTGAGCATACACTCGCGGCAGGTCTAAAAAAAGCTCTCACGCGGCATGCGATTGCAAATGAAGAAGACGTTGGCGATATCGTAACAGCAACGACATTTCGATATCATTGCCGAGCGTTTTGAAAAAAAAAACATCGATTCTGCACGGGAAGGAAATCGGGAAAGAAGGGAATAGATGTCGGATATAAATTTATTGATATTTGTTAAATATTACGATAACAAAGCTGGCCGCTGAAAGTTCCATTCTCATCCCCAAATAAATAAATGCTTATTATTCTGTTACCGGCCAAACCCGATTTCAGGATAAACTAGTTTCGCCTAGGCCAAACTAGTTCATCCAAAATGCAGTAGGATGAATCAGTTTTGCCTAGTCCAAACTGGATTCTCCTAAGCACACTAGGATGAATCAGTTCGGCCTAGTCCAAACTAGTTTGACAGTGCGCGGTGCATGTTTGTACTTTTGAGTACTCTCTTGCTGTTATGCAAGAGGCTTCAACTACTCACACAAAGTCGTCAAAGGGAGTGAAGAGAGAGAGAGAGAGAGAGAGAGAGAGAGAGAGAGAGAGAGAGAGAGAGAGAGATTCTTGGCAGATATTTTAAAATATGAAAGTGAAAAATCCACTTATTTTAATGTGCTTACTAAGGACAAGTACCTACAACTTATTTATGAGGTAGAGGAGGCAGATAAAATTAAAGAAAAGGCACCCCTCCAGCGAAGAAGGTCAACCCTTTGTTCTGTTAGTGGGAGAATATACTTTCCATCTTTTTCTTGATCCAATTTTGCGTTGTAAATCACATAATTTTAAAGAACTAATCGGGGATTTGAGTTTTCCAGATAACTGAATAGTTGTTCAACATACTCCAATAGGTTTTTATACCCAATTATTCATTTGTGATTATTTATAACAAATCAAAGTTGAAAAAAATGCTTTTTTAGAGGAAAATCGATTCCTCGGAGAATATTGAATGTACAGGTCTGAAGTTTCCACCAAATATTTTTCTGACTGAGTTGTACAAAAACATGTATTTTTTGCAGGTTAGATGTTTTTTTATATAAACAAATATTTCTACAAAAACGGCCGAAATTTGATTTTTTTGCATTTTTTAGCTCTATTTTCCTAGTTTCTTCATTCTGTATCTCCATCTTATCCATACTGTCAATATTATTTTACTCAAAAATGAATGTTTAATCTCTAGTAAGCATAAATATGCAATATTGAACATTTTCCCAGATAAATTTTCTCCAGCTCGATCGAGTTCCATCGTCTAGAATCATATGTTCTTATTACGACCTGGTTATTATTGAATAATAATTGGAATTTTCATTATTTTTGTACATCACGATCGCCATATTGAGTCGGCCATTTTGAATTTTGCAAATCTGACTTTAGATTTCAGTAAACAGCGACCCAGAAAACGTAGGACTATCAAATATTTTAATAATTTTCTCAAGGGAAGTTAATTCAGCAGTGAAAGGATTAACAGCAGTAAAACGATTTAGTGTCTTGGAAATCGAGGGCACAAAAAAGCTTGTTGCACGAAATGTGTTGCAATGAAAATATAAAATACTATCTCTCAGCTGATGAGACTAGGCCGAACTGATTCATCCTACTGCACTTTGGATGAACTAGTTTGGCATAGGCGAAATTAGTTTATTCTAAAATCCTGAGCGGTTTGACCGGTAACAATTACAGCCCCGATGTCGGAACCGTCCTAATTGATAAACGTGACATTCATTATCGCGTGGCACTTTAATATTTTTCTCTATTTCTCGAATTTTCTAATTCTCGAAACGCACTATCGCGTGAATGATCGGATCTCACTCGTAAAGGAGATCAAATTCCGAGCTGCAACTGCAGTTCGATCGAGTGTCTCCAAATTGGCCGGACGCGGCACTTCATCTCCATTTGCTCCAGTTGCACTTGAACGAGGATCCGAAAACTTCTTACGGTAACTGCGAATCGCCATATGCAGGTTTCGCACATATATATCACTAAAGCATATATTGTCATCGACGCATCGCGCGCGACTATCCGTCCTCGCCGAGAGAGTTGGCGCACTCGCTGCTGCGTTTAGATCTAAGCGCGGCTCGCTCGCGCTTAGATCTAAACGCACAACGTCCCGGTCGGTCGGTCGCAGGCGTCGAGTGTCACGTCGGAGTAAATTATGCTCAATTGCCATCGCCGCGCGCGCCCGGGCCCCGGCCCGGGCGGGACCGTGACATTAGCTTCGGCATTGTGTCGCGCGCTTAATTGCGCCACGGTGCAATATTGGAGGACGGGTGGAGGAGGGGTGCTGGCGTTCGCGTCCAGCACAGAGCAACGCGGGGACAGCGACGATGCACGTGCGCGCTTCGCTGCTCGCGTATTTTGTGCTTCCTGGCCGCGAGTCGCGACGGCAAATGGAACGGGCGCTTTTCAGGGCCGCCTTCCTCCGCGCCGTCGCTGATCACCGCGGGGCGGCCGACTCGCGTGGCGATTCGCCCGCCCGCAAACTAAATCGCTCGAAAGTTCCAGAGACACGCGATGGTGTTGCTGCAAGAGCTATGCATCGCGCGGTTCGAGCGCTCGAAGCTTGCGCCCGAGAGTCTAGCATTACCTAGCGTCTACCATTTACATCGACAAAAAGTAGGCGGTGTGGTGTTATTAACGCCCGGCGATGCAATCAAACCGTCGGCGAGCAGTTTCGCCAGGAGTACGATAACGGTTTCGAGCCGATAGGGCTAATTGGGGTGAGTGATGAGTAAATGAACTGCTGCTGCTGGTGGAATCACGCTGATGTCTGGAAAAGGAAGCAGGAAAGGTGGAATGCGAGGAGTTCTCAAAAAGTTCGGAAACGCCGGGAAATATCTCGAAAACAATAAGTTTTTGAGAAAAATGTTTTAGACAAAAGAGGTGCAAATCTGATCGTGCAGCCTCCATGCGGTACACCTTGGGTAATGCTAATGCCGACGACGGTACTGTAACATTGAAGCTTCACAATTTGAAATGTACTTAACAAAAAAACACTTTGTTATAGTGTCTTGGAAAGCTCTTGAAATATATTACAAGAATATGCAAAAAAAGTAGGACGTTTCATTTGAAAAACTCAAGGTGACCTTGCTCTGACTTTGTTGACTCTACCCAAGGTTAAACTGATGAGATCAGTATATAGATAATTTTAAACCCTATATAACTTTTGTCGGAAACATTTTTCTCAAAAACTAATTGTTTTCGAGATATTTCAGCGTTTCCGGACTTTTTGAGAACCCTGTATGTATTGGGTTGGCAACTAAGTGATTGCGGATTTTAAATAAGAATGAAAATTCAAAATTTTAAATTTGCTTTTTTAAATTTTTTTCAATGCATGTATGCGATACATTGAGCTTCTCTGCAATATCACGTGTTGTGCTATGACGATCTGAATCGATAATGGCCTTGATATGGGTCTCATCGACTTCAACTGGACGGCCAGATCGTTGAGCATTTTTCAATGAAAAATCACCAGAACGAAATCTGGCAAACCAATTTTGACACTGTCTTTCTTTCAAGGCTTCATTCCCATATACGGCACATAACTTCTTGTGTGCTTGCGATGCGTTCTTGCCTTTTCGAAAATAATACAATAAAATATGTCTGAAGTGCACGTCTTGCTCTTCCATTTTTAAATTGGGATAAAAACAAAACTAAACAACTAATCGATATAATTTTTGTACTAAATGAAAGGTAGAAGTCCAAACAATAAGAAAAAAATATAGATTAGGTACTTTGAGCACGTTAACGAAACAAAAGAAAGTGTAAAATCCATCTGTCGACAAAATCCGCAATCACTTAATTGCCAACCCAATATATTCCGACGAAGTTCCGTATCAGCTGTGCGAGAGGTATTTGTACGTCACGGCGGAAGTGATTAAGGCTCGATCCACACACTATCGGTTCGTTCACGGTCCGCTCACGATCCGATCGTATTTCTAAAATGTTCACACTATTGAATCACACTCATCAATTCGCTCTCGGTTCTATCCCGATCAGACGATCAGTGTAGTTTCTGCCTAAACATTAATTTCCCTTGAACATCGGCGTTAGCTCTTATTTGCTCTCTTTTATAAGAAACATTAATATTTTATCATATTTTCCAATATATATGTTCATAATTAATTTCTAATTATAACACGATATATGTATATCGTGTTATAATTATTACATACGTAATAATTAATACATACGTACCTTTTCCAAATGACCACAATTTTTCTTTATTCATATTTTCTTATTCTTATTATTATTATTATTATTTGATACTGTTTGAGAGTCACGAGTCGCTGTGAGAACTGCGAGTCTGCGAAAACTGACGGTGTGGATTGATTGATCGAAAGTCTGTCTACATTATCGGTACGACTTCGGACAACTTCGACCACGCTCCGGCAAAATATTCTTTCGAAGGATCGTTACTGGAGCGAGATCGGAAACTTGAGCATTACCGATAATATGAACACGTACGTTATAAAAAGTGGAAAAATATTTGATCGAAGCGTGAGCGGATCGATAGTGTGGATTGAGTCTAAATGGGATTCTCGTTAAATTGTCGAGAGAGTTTCCGAGTCGAGGGGATATTTGGAATGCAATATTCATCTAATAAATATCGGATCACTAAAGTGTAGCTGATGCGTTTACAGAATCTCCAGAAATTGGATGAGTCCATCGAAAGACGCGCTCTCGAATTTGAAGCAAACGAAGCCTGAAATATAAGATTCTACTCATTCAAACTTCAGAGAGATGATTGCAATCACACGGAATCGCAACCGTTATTAAATTAAGCCGTTATTAAGCCGAAATTGACTGAACGTGATATTATCTCATCGGATTTCCTGCGTTGCATTTTAACAAGGAATCTGCTTTTGACGCTTTCCACGGCAAATTATCACGCACGGAACTCATCTCGGTACGTCGGCAGACGAATCTATCATTTTCGTCAAATCACTGTGGAACTATTACCTGGTCTCGATGAAACGGAAACAGCGAGTCGAGCGCATATTAATTCGATACGTTCTCTCTAATTGGCGGCGTACAAATATGCGGAAAATTGCGTTGCGAGATTGAACCCCGTAACATTTGACACAGTTCTCATTTCTTGTAATATCGGTGGTGATTCATGTATCTTCTTTACGAATCGATTTCTTAATCGAATCACAACGTAATGCAATCGTCGCTTCGAAAGCGACGTGGTAATAATCGTGGCTAGCCGAGAGATGAAAACTGATCCAGATCTCCAACGGAACGATCGGTGCGCGATTTCCTCTTCGCTCGGACGAGGTTTCACGCGATTATTCGGTCGATAGCAGATAATCTCATCAGACGACTCGAGACACGGCACAGATTCTTCCTATTTCCTGCGCTATCATTTCTTCTTATTTACTTTTGATCGACGGTTTCTCGGATCGCGCGGACCGGAAATCTTCCGGATAATACGACATGCAAACATCTTTAACGGATTGTGCCAAGTCAAATTCTGGCCGAATCTCGTTTCATTTGAAAACGTCTCAATAATCGTACTTTCTTATTATGACAACATCCACGATAATTCAATAATAATAAAGAATTACAATCTAATAAAAACAAAAAGAATGTGATGTCACATTTCGAAAGTTAATTTTTATTCAATTTTAAAATACTTTGGTAAATATACGTTAAGTACTGGTATGGTAAATATACGTTAAGTACACACAATAACAATATAGTTATAGTACAAAAATAAGAATAAGATTCAAACCTGATATAAATAACAAATTCACCGTCACCCCGAGCGTCGTATAATTCACGACTTGGCTCGTGCGTGCTTAGCTTCTTAATATCCTTATCGCTCAATTTGCAATATGCGAGCCTCGCGCGCGCACGGGGAAATCTCGCTTTGTATTACGTATAATTCAGCCGAGTATCCCTTTTGTCTTTCAATTTTCGAGCAACGACCAGTCAGGCCTACCACAGCTGAGATTCAAAGGCACTCTGCGCGGCTTTTGATCGCAGCTGTATTTTTCGCAAAGCGGCCAGACGCGGCCGCCGACGTGGCTCGCGGGCAGCGGATCTCCGCTTGATGTATATCCCTCGTCTAGGTCTATAGTCGACCAGGGGTTGAAGACCCCCGAGGAGACGTCGCTCTTTGCTCTTTGAAACCGGCAGACACGGCCGTAGCTCGAGCACGACCGCCGCGCGCGCGCGCTCTCGGCGATCGAAGTTGCTCGACTATTCTCGCGATGAAAAGAAAATGGAACGCGATGAAGAAAGAAGACAACGAGGAGGAGATGCGGCCAAGGGTGAGGAGCAGAGGGAAGAGGAAGAGAAGAGAAAGAGAGAGAGAGAGAGAGAGAGAGAGAGAGAGAGAGGAGGAGCGATGAAGGGGAATGAGGAAGGAAAAGCCGCGAAGGAAGGCAACGAACCAGAAGAGATCGGAATTCGAAGGTGAACGATGAGACGTGAGGAACGAGGAAGGATCGAAACCGCGAGATCAGCAGAAGGAGGTTCGCGCATCAGGGCGGGAGTGGCGAGGGGGTACGGAACATCGGAGGAGAATGTCGGGGCGAGGAACTTATGGAAAAGGCGGCTGTCGAGTGCGATTACCTCTCGTTGCCGTCGGTGTCCTTGGGCACCTTAATCACGTAGTACACGTGGCCGCCGTGGGTGGTCGTCATTTTTCGATCGCGCCCAGCAACATTTGACAGCGGCAATCTCCGTGAGATCTATCTCCCTTCCCTCCACCCCTCGGACAGCCCTCGCGCTCTCTCACGCTCCACCGAGCGCGAAGTCGACTCTCGGACACTTCATCGTGTTCTTTAACTCTTAGCCGAGAAACTAGGCGGAAGAAGACCGCGACCGGTAAGTAGAGGACGTGTCCGCCTCGATTCTCGTCGATGGGAGAAGAACTTGGCCGATTTCGCGCGGACTAACTTCAAGAGTAACGTAAGACTTTATTTTTAAGCGTGTTTGCTACACGCTCTCTCTCTCTCTCTCTCTCTCTCTCTCTCTCTCTCTCTCCCCCCCCCTCTTTCTTTCCAACTCTTCTTCTCTTTCTCTACGACTCTTTCGCTCCCCTCCTTTTTCTTTATCTCTCGAAGAACGAGAGAGGAAAAGAGCAACGCGTTATTTCGGGGTCTGATGATCGTGCTCGCCAAGAGGAAAGCATCCTCCTCATCGAGTTGTATTTTGCTCAATACAAAGCTATTTACCAGTCCCTCTGACACGAAGCAGAAGATTAACGGAACGATCACGAACGATCGCAGCAGTGACGTCTCGGAGTTGGCAGAGGGGACCACACGCGTTAATTCCCTCTCATGCTGATGTCGCAAGAGCGCGTGTAAATGTACAGCGAGCAATCTGCGTCGTGAGCGACGAATGAGGGACGAACGAACCTCATCATCTATTTTTCAATTTCCTCAGAACTGAATTAGAAGAAAAGCGAGACACGCTCTCGTTTGGCGCGCTTACGTCTCCTCTCATTCTTCCAAAAATTCGACTTTATTTGAATTTATCAGACAGGTATATGTCGAGCGACAATTTCACTCGTTCACAGCACAAACATTATCGCGATTTTCAGTTTATCGAAAGATTAATTTTCCATGCCTCAACGTTTACTTCCTGCCGGAAACTCGCTCGTCGAACGCGGTTCGTGTAACGCGGACAAGCGAGGAGATCCGCTTCCGCCGTCACGCGAAAACCCGGCCGACCTATTTCGGGAAAGTCCGTGACCCGTTTCCTGTCCGACTGTCCGACATTACAAGGCCCACCACCGAGTCATTGGTCAATCGTTGGTACCGGCCTCCCACGCGACCGATCGTTATTCTTCTCGACGGCAGTAGTCACCGAACAGAGAAATTATTATTCTTCAGCGATCTGTTCGTCCGGCGACTTGTATTTTCGTGGATGCGCGCAGGAGGCGGCATCGAAAATAGCCCGGAAATTTACACGTGAGTCAGCACTCGATGTGGAAACACCAGACGTTCGTCGGGTTCGCGCGCGCTTTTCCACACCTCGCGCGACCACGAATTTCATTCTGATACGAGGAATACGCGATCGATCGTACGTCAATATGTACGGGAGGAAAGAGTCGAGAATAATGACATTTGACAGCAAAACGGAGCGCTGGAATAAAAACCGTCGGAGGAAATTCCTCTAAGGCGAGCAACCAGTTGCTCAGCGGAGCACGAATGGTATCTGATCAAAGCGGCAGAAGATCACAAGAGGAGGAAAAAGGAACAAAAAAAAACGACGAAGATACAAAGAGAGATCTCTCGGCTGTTCTCGGTTGCGATGTCTATGTGTCCGACGCGAAGAACACGTCTGCGAAGGATGTACGTAAGAACGGGGGGTAGAGAACCGCATTTAACGCTGCAGAAACGAAGGTCGATGAAAGAGATGGAGAAGGCGATGAGGACGAGGACTACGTAGGACACGTAGGAATTCTCTAGGATACGCGACTTAGTTGTGCAACTAGTTGTCTGGTGGAGGTGCGAGCAGTATCGATTCAATGTTGTTTACGCACGAAGTACGGCTTCGGCAATGGGGATAGATTTCTCGGCGAGGCGGCACGCGAATTGCGGTATATTATCGTGTGGGAATCTGTAGAAAATCTGGACTAATCCAACAAGGGTGCATTGCGATCGACCGACGCTATCGACTCGCGCGCGTAGGGTTTACGCGGCGGATTGAGTGTCGTCTACTTCTGACGCGATAGAAAATCAATGTGTGCAACCTGAGAATTCGTCAGCGCAAAGGAATTCGACTGTCTGCAAAATGGGAAGAAAAGTGGATTTCGCTATTTTGAAAAAGAAAAAAAAAAAAAACCGCCAGAGCGTTCGTGTGGAAACATTCGAACTTGATGCTGATATTATGTTTCAAATACTTCAAATTAATATCGACGAGCGACTTGATTTTTACACAAAGCGAGGAACGTCTTTTGCGTCTTTTACGCAATTGGACGGTTAGATGTAAGCGTTCACGTTCGTATGAACTTTCTCGCTGGAAATGCTATCACCCGGCTAAGATGTTGACCTTTTCCAACTCGAGCGCGTCACCTATCCCTAATCGCCGATGATTAGACCGACAGCCGCTTAATATAGCTCGGTGAAAAAGTTAGCATAAGTGCATCAGCCTCCGAAGGGTCAAAAGGCTAAGGGCGCGCCGGGGGTTGGTCCTGGGGTAGCTCGCGGGCGTCGCGAGCTACCCCAGCGAAAGTGGCCCGGCGGCCGCCGGCAACTTTCCACGATCGACTGTTTCGGGCTTTGACATTTTCAGGATCTCGATTAACGGCCTCACCCTGCCCTGCCGCGGTTTAATGACGCACCCTGCTTTTGCAGGCTGCATTCCAGCGCCCTTCCTAACCCTTCCCTGTGCATACCGGCCTTCGTGCCCAGCGGCTATGGGGGTTGAACGACTGGAGCGAGAATATGGGTCACGGCTGTTTTCCTGCGAGGCGAGCCGAGCCGAGCCGAGCCGAGCCGAGCCGAAGAGAGCACGCGCGCGCGTTCTCTCGCCTTTGGGGCAGGAAATTAGATTGAACGCTTCTAAATTACGATCGAGCCTAAATTACGAGAGGAGCCTTATATTTCGACGGCGTTCCGGCTTTCGAATGCAAATGCGGCTTTTCCTGATCAGAAGAAGTATATAGGACGTTCAACGACAGAATGTTGAAATTTCTTTCTATACGGAAGAAAATATCCAACTCTTTTCGGAAGCAAGAAAAATTCTCACAACTTTACATTACGGGCACAACTGTGAAATGGATATTCGGATTCACTTCGCACAACGGACGAATGATATGCCATCAACACAGTCGCTTCTCGAGGTTGTACAATGACCATTTAACGATATTCTTTTCTAGTAGAAAATTATAGGAAGTTATTTCAAGCTGGACGTTTAAGAGTTAATTACCCTCCGATTAATTATTGTTTCGCATTTGTCGCTCATGTCCCATGAGTAATTGTACATCCGCAAGGCCAAATTCACTAATTTACTATGAAAATGACATTTTTTATTACATTTTATTTATTGATTTGATATGATTTTTATCTTTAAAATATATCCATCCGCATCGACAATGCTCTGCCATTAACTGCGATTAATCTTGCAACTTCATTTTTATAAAATTCCGGAGATTCGAAAATTTTGCCAATCACCGTATACACGATATTATTCAAGGAACGCGACCGACACGACCTGTTCATAACCTGCGTTACGTCCTTTTATTTACAATGCGCATATCTTCAGCCTCGATTCCTCCCGTCAGTGTTCTAATCTCGACTGGAGCTCGCAAGCTTGTCAGTCCATTGAACGAGGGAAGCGATTTTCTCGAGGAAAGGAGGAAAATCACGGCAGCAAGATGCGAACGCGTTACAGCACGACCCAGTTTTGCGACCCGTACCGTATATGGACCACTGGGTATATAAGGTCACGCAGCTCAGGGGTGCGTGAGTTTGCGCCGCATGTCGTCCTCGCCGCCGCGAGGATTCATCACACAGTGTGCGGCTGCGTGGACCGCTTCATGCACCTGGACCAAGCTCTCCGCCGCTCCAGGTGGGAGAGTGGGAGGGATGGGTGCAAAACTCAATTAGCTCCCGATTACGAGATATCTGGAGCGCCATGTTCGGTCGTGGCGCAACTCGATCACTTTGTCGTGCGTGAAATTGTTTCGTGGGATATTCGACGTTAAAAAAAAGAAGGTCTCCGTGGTGTCAGAGACCAAAGATGCGCGGATTAAAGATCGATCGAGTCTCTTCTTCTCCGTTCCGACAAGTAATCCTCGGGGATCAACCTCGGTCGAGGAATATATTGTAAAATAATTCCAGAATATTGTAAAAAAATCCCGAGTGTAAAGCTAACTCAGTTTTAATGATATTGCGCGCGTGTCTTTTCTCGTTTTATCTTTTCTCGCTATAATCTTCGACGGAAAGAACTCTTGCGCGATTGCGCAATTCAGCGACGCGAATTCGACGTTGGACGCGCAATGTCGTCGTTTACGGCCGTCGCTGAAGTCACAATAATCCACTTAACGACGTTTACTACTCGCGTTTATTCACGCATAATTGGTAATTGACGGTGATACGAGGACCTGCGCGACCGAATTTCCCGTGAAGGAGTTTAATGGAGTTCAACGAGGCGGAGGGCGAGCGTCATTCAGATGAGGAGGAGGTCGTGTGAGAGTGCGAGGGCAAAAATTATGTCATGACGTGTCATTCGACCGGTCGTTAAAACTCTCGCTACGTCACTTCGCTTCGCTTGCGACATCGAAAATGTCGCTTGGGCTTGGCCCGAGCTTAATTCACGTAAAATTTCATTTATATGTAATGAGGACTCGAGGTGAAGATCGCAGACTTGTCGTTTACTCGTTTATCCTCACTTCCATCTTGCGTCTCCCAAGACGCGAGCTAATTGATTTCGAGGTGAATTTTTTAGACGATTCAAGTTACTTGCTCAGAAACAGTTTCGAAGTTTGTTACATCGCGTGCAATCCGCGAGAGGTCGGACACGGGGGGGTCGCTCATAAAGATATTAATAGCATTTTCTAATTCTTTTATTTTGTATTAACGTGAGTCGGTGGAAGCGCTGAAACACGCGCGCGTCTACAAGGAAGAGTTATTATTATCGTGTTCGCGGTAAGGCATGTTTTTCTCGGACGAGATGAGACGAGAGAGAGGGAGAGGGAGAGAGAGAGAGAGAGAGAGAGGAGAAACCTGCTGAAAAATTCACACTATGATCACCGTCTACCCGTTCGCCTGTACAAGATGCATCTCGGTGCGTCTCTCGTTGCGTCGTTTCACGCGACACGCCCTTGTAAATGGATTTTCTGCCTTCCACGATACGGGACACTTGTCCCGAATGCAAATATGATAAATCACGCGCTTCACACTCCTTCCAAGTATATAATTAAAGCAATCTTGAGAAATCTCAATTGCGAGTGTAATCATTGCGAGTGTGCCGCTTTAAAGTAAAGTAAAGTTATGTTTCAAGTGTTTCGGATTGAGCTCGGATCTTTCGAACCGTGTCCGAGTCATCTTGTAAAACGTTTCAACGAAGCTAAATGCACGCTTGCTCGCTGTGTCAATCGTCGATTGAGGTGTTATTGGATCGATTAATAATTCTGTTCGGCGCAGTGAAAGGTCGGTTCGCGTAATTTTACACGATTCCAGACAGATATTAGATAATTATAACGAGTTCGTCTCGTACGGTCCTGAACTTTTCTAAGGCAGGTCACGGTTCCCGACGAAGTCGTCGTTCCTCTGGTCGCTATCTTTGGCACGCACCGCGTTCCGAGTCGGACACATTCGGATCACCCCGAATTCCATCTCGCGAGTCTGCTTCCACGACACGAAACTGAACGCGCGTCCGCAAAAGCTGCCTAACTTTCGGGTTAAAGAAGAATTGATCAGGCGTTGACCATTTATTAATAATAAGATCGTTTTCGTAAGTCGAAGACTTCGATACAGGAGCGACCTAAGTGGATAATCTCCAAGGTCTGTTGTTGCAAAATCTGTTTTTAACACGAAACCATATTTTTATTATACGTTGAATCTGCACTGGTTTCGGTTAGACGAGCTGGATGACGAAGAAAGCGTGCAAAATGCGTGACGCAAAGACACACGTCATAAATGAATAACCTAGAGTCGTGCTAATTCGGAATACGATTATGGAGAATATATTCGACGTTCGATTCGACGTGCAAGAGCACGAAAAGTTGGAACATTCAAACTACGAGTTACGAGTCAATTGGCGCGAGGGAACAACGAAATTCATATAATGTAGCCGAGGAAGGGAAAAGAACCTGCATTGTATGGACGTATTATAGACCGCTGGAAACATATACACGGAAGCGAGATAGTTACGCGGAAAAGTCGATAACCACAGTGCTTCATTATTTTCTTTTTTCTCCGCGAGGGAGCTTGATTCGTGCGCGCGATATTTCCTCTATATACGTTTTCCGACATTTTCGCAACGTAAAATATTGTATCCGTTCTCTCACGGCCTGAATTAATTCTCGCGTAGAATAATATCGCGCGAGAGAAAAAGCGCGCACTTCGTCGAGAAAGAGAGAAATCTTTCGCGAGAAAAATAAGATATCAAGAAACGCGGAATGTAGAAAAATCCAAGAGTGATTAACGAGTGATTAACGTGTTTGGAGTTTCCTTTATCGGCATTGTGAATTATTATTTCTATTTTTCCTCGCGCGAGACCCTCTCGACGACTCTCTCGGCAAAATCCTCGGGCTCGATAATGGACGAAGTAACGTTGAAATAACGAAAAAGCTGCGATCTTTCTTGAGCACTGCACTCGCGTCCGTCCGGTCGTCGCGAAGCTGGGGCGCGCGTTTTGCGCCGCAGATTGCGACCGGGATTCGCGCGGCCATTGGGATCGCGAGTCACAGCGGCGGCGGCGGCGGCGGCGGCAGCGGCAGGATATCCCAGCCCCGGAGGAATATCGCGCGTGGCACGCATCCTTGCGCACGCACGTGCGCTGGGTCGAGAGAAAGAGGCGAGAGAGCGAGAGAAAACGAGAGAGAGAGAGAGCGAGAGAGAGAGAAAGAGAGAGAGAGAGCGAGAGAGAGAGAGAGAGAGAGAGAGAGAGAGAGAGAGAGAGAGAGAGAGAGAGAGAGAGAGAGAGACGGAGACGGAGCTCGCGGAAGTGAAACGAACGCGGAACCGGACGAATCTCGAGGATGATCCTCCTCGTCGACTCTCTCCTCTTCCTGCAACTCACTGATCCGATCTCGAGCCTTGCGATCCCGACCGATCGCGATCGACGCGAATCCGCCGCGAAGTATAACACCGCACACCGCTCTCCTTCACTGTGTCACCGTGTCACACCGTCTCTTATCGGCGCCGTGTCGCGGCGTTATCACCGCGTCATTGGCGAGCGATCCCGAGGATTAACGCTACGCAGTCGGCTGCATTTAACGCGGCGGAGGGACATGAAGGACAAGGAGGGTAAAGGCGAGGGAGAATGGGAGAGTGAGCGCGAAGAGATACACAGAGTGAGTACACTGGGAGAGCGAGAGATATAAAAGGGAGGTGAGAGGGGGGAAAAGGAAACAGAGAGAAGGAGAGAAAAAAGAAAGAGAGAGAAAAAGATCGACGAGAGAGAGAGAGAGAGAGAGAGAGAGAGCGCGCGATTGTTCGTCGATGCAGCCGACAGCACGACTGGTGGCGGCGGCCTTACCGCACCTCTGCACATCCACCCACGCTATATCGATCTCTCCCGTCCTCCATCGTCGCTCTCCTCTCTTCTCTCCGCTCTCCTCTTCGCTCTTCGCCTCGCCTCGCCTCACCTCTCTTCTACGCTCTTCTAGTATACTCGCGCGCACAGGAGCGCAGCGACCACGGCGACGGCGACGGCGACGGCGACGGCGACGGCGACGGTGGCGGTGGCGGTGGCGGCAGTGGCGGTACCGGCGCTGCTGATGTCCGCGATTCGTCGAGCCTTCGGTGGTGGTGCAGCTAACTTGAGCTCGCGTTCGTCGGATACGATTGTACGCAGGGGGGATATAGTCGCGCAGGTGTGTACGCGTGTATGAATGGATAGCGCGACCGCGATGTGTAGGTGGCAGATGTATGTATATACATGTGTATGTGTATATGTGCGCGATAGGACGCCTGGCTGGGGCAATGGGCGAGTGGGTGGGTGGGTGGGTGCATCCTGGATATACAGGGTGCTGAACAGCTACGTGCGCGCTGCCACGATTTCACGAGGTCGATTTTTCCTCCGCGATCCGACCCGATAGATTCTTCTTCCACCGCTCCTTCTTTCCTCGCTCGAGCCTCTTGCGGGCCCATCCGGTTCGATCCGGATGAGAGTTACTTCGGGAAGCGAACGGTGAAGTTTAGAGAAGAGAACCTTTCCAAACTGGTATTTATGATATTATATTTTCCTACGTGTTCCCACTTCCGACATTACTGCGAAATTCGCACGCGCAGCTTTTCCGCGACCGACCCGACCCCGAGCGAAGTGTCCAACAGGTCAGTGTGAGGTGAAAAGACGAGCAACAGCAGCCGGAATTAATCCATGGATCCATAATGGATGGTGTTCGATCTTAAATTTACGGGGGATATGCAATTTGCAATTCACATACACGTGATACTAGATCCTCGAAGAATTTTATTTGAGCGATTTCCATGCGGAAGGATTCCGTTACGGCGCAGCACTTGGCCGTTTGCGCAAGCAATTAGCAGAAACCTCGCGCGATAGATGCGCGAGTTTACGTAACGTCCCGCTAAGTAACAATGCCTGTACATTCCGAGTGCATAGTCGTGCAACCGATCGAGCGTAGCTTAGGTGAATCGCGAAATCGCGTAGGAAAAAGTCATCGCCACCGCGATAGAAGGCTCGACCGGTTTTCTCTCTCCTCGTCGTTGACTCGCTTCCTCTTCGAGGCAACCATTTTGCCGGCGGACGAATTACATAAGGAATTACATAAGGACGCGAGGATCCTCCAGGATGCAACGCGACGGACGATAACCGCGTTATCGCGATCGGCAAACTCGCACGTGAGAAACTCGTCTCGCGAAGCTCGCGCGTTACGCGAAGTACCGATATAATTTGACCTAATAATAATATATTCAAGATTTCGAATCGATAAAATTAAATTTATTCACAACTGATTAAAAAGAATTGATTAAAAACTGATTAAAAGAGACAGGAACAAGGGGGGAAAGAGAAGACGGGAGGAGGAGGAGGAGGAGGAGGAGGAGGAGGAGGAGGAGGAGGAGGGAGAGAAAGAGATTTAAAAAGCGATGAAATAAAAATTAAGATTAAATAAAAATATAATGCCGATAAAAATTGGGAGGAAAGTTAAAGTCGAGACGACAATTCACTCTCAGCCTATTGAATGTCAAAATCAATTTGTCACCGACCAAAGTTCTTAGAGTTGGCTCAACGCAGGGTTTATTACACCCCAGGTCGACTCGCGGCCGGGGCTGCGAGGGTAAACAGACTGCGACCGATTTCAGTTTTAGACGCTCGCGTGCTGCCCGAATTCTATTTACGAGCGGCATCGCGAAATCGTAAAATGTGCAAATATGCATACACACAGGTGCGTGTTGCGTATGTATGATGTCTGTGTACGTGTGACGGATCATCGACCATCGCGAACCACTGTTTCTGCGCGCGCTTTCACATCGCGCATCTTTGTCCCTTTGTCGTATCGTAAACTGAGTCTACTTTAGCCCTTCGGGGCCCGGCATTTCGTTAATGGAGTGGGGGAGTGAAGTAAAAAGAGAAGAGCGTCTTTATGACACTTGCACGCTCGAATTCGCGGAACCATAGATAATAAATTGTCCTCTTTACAGTCGACGCGTTATACTTTTACTACTCGGTGTATTTCACGCGACAGCCAATAAAAATAGATATATAATCGTAAATCAGTTATTACAGCGCGTAAAAAAATTCGATAGTCACAAAGTCCGCAGTGTCTAAAGGCGGATAAAGATTCGACACAGTTTGCAAAATTCAGCTCGAAGTTAAGAGTGAATTTCGCGGTACGAGTGATCCGTTCGCCGTGCGCGACTATATATGATATAATACATGCAGCAATACATGTACATTGTTTGCAGTTTGCGGCTTTCTGAAGAGGTAGACGCGCGCAGTTGGTGCGCGGACGGTCCATGGAGCCACTATATCCTCATTGTTTATCAGCTAATATTGTGTTTTTCCGAGAGCGGAAACCGCGGGTAAATTTACGCGCGGCGTAAATTCACGTGTGTGTGTGTGTGTGGGGGGGCCATGGTGTCGTAATAGCAATAACGCGTCGGACAGGACTGAGCTCTCTGGCATAAAGGTTACACTGTACCACGAACAGGCTGTAACCGCGGATAACCGTCGTAAACAGTTTGGTAGCGCGGTACCAGGCGACGGAGACACAAAGGGGAGAGGTGCGGGGCCCGAGAGAGAAAGGAACGTCACTTCCGGCCCATTAAGACCGTCAAGGGTCGCGCGAATCGTGCGCAGGAGGCTAATTATTCCGGGGACAGTGTTTCTCATCCTTTGACTGTTCTCGCTATCTTTCTCTCTTTTTTTGCTCTACAAAGCGAGTTACAAGGCGCAAGCTTGCGAGAGGCAAAGAAGGCTGGACCGGAAAATTCATTGCGATAAGAGCGACGCAGGAACTCTTTCCTTCGCAAGTATCTTTCGTTCCTTAACGATTTTCCCATGACCCCCAATGATTTTCTTCTCGCTTATCTTCTAACAATTTACTAAATTGTCACTTAAAGGGCGATATATCGTTCGATGTTCGATTAATTAAATCTATCTCTACTCGTCGTAGGATGAGAAGAAAGGCAGGTAGGGGATAAAGGCGTTCGTTGTAATAAAATTGCGAATCCTACCTTATCTGCGCATGATAGGAGGGCGTAGTGTGCTCGGTGTGCGTGGTCAAAAGTTCCGCAGGATTGCTGGCCATGTCTATCGGATGTGCTGCCGAGTGCGTGATGGGTTCCAGCAAGAGGACTCCGGGCGTCGCCGGCGACGGTTGTGGACCTAACAACGAGACGCGTACTTTTTCTCTACCTTCGCTGAAAGCAACAAGAAGACATTCTGTTAGTATAAAAATATACTTGTGCATCGTAAGAGTGTGTGTGTGTGTGTGTGTGTGTATGATTGTATTGAACAACTCTCTCAGTAGAATTATTAAAGATAACAACCATAACAAGCAAAGTATCACACACAGTAACAATATTTTTAATTATCAATATATTGTGGAAATTGTAAAACGAAGACGGATATTGATTAGGTACGGTAATTGTGTAATTTTCAAGTAAATTGTCCTTGCGTTGAAAAGAAAAGATACTGTTCAACGGTCGCCTTTATATTCGGAGAACTCACTCGGGGATTTCGGATAATCGAGCGAAAGGTGAATTTCCGTCCGTTACGCGAAAAAAAAAAAAGAAAAAACGAGCGGGGCGAACGATTTAACGATTTAACTTCCGCTTTTGTCGTCACGCCTCCTCGCGTGTCCTGCCGGCAAGTAGCGCACCCCTTCTCGAAAAACGCCCGCGGTGTACGCGCGCACGCACATGTACGACTTTATCTCTCACTGACTGTCTGAAGGATTACCGTTGGTGTCTGGCTAATTTTTAACAACTACTGTGTGCTTTCCGTGTACAATCGATAAAAGTTTAATAAACAATTCGTTGTATAAAAAAATAACGCACATGCGCGAGGAAGGGTTTATCGTGTGTCCGAGGTGGAAAAATCTCTGCGAGCTAACGCGCTATTTTGGAAAAGCAAACGATTAAAAATTACGTAATGTTTTTATTAAGTTTATATTTTTCCGTTAGTGCGGCAAATTTCCAGTCGAGGACGATACGCTCCGGTTCTATCTTAAGCTCGATGGCAGTGTCCTGAGCGCGCCGCGGGCGACGAAATTCAAGTCGGTCGTCTGATTGCTCGTTTGCCGCTTACATAACTTTCCGACGACGTCATTCACGTCACGCGTCGTTGTGCAGCGGCGTCGGTGGACTGAGATCGTCGGCAGATTGCGTTGCAACGCGCGCGAGATGCACCGGAACGAAAGGATTTGGCCCGGGCCGCGTACAGCCGGAAGAGTCGGTTTTTACCCTCAACTTCGTCGTTGCCAAAATATATTGCGAATGTATCGCAAAACATGTTCGAAAAATTTTGCACCAAATGTATGTCTTGCGTATTTGTCAACGACTTTTTATTCAGTGCAAAAGTCTACTCGCTTCGTATAACTTTTGTCCTACAAATTTTTCTCATGAAAACAGTCGCTGCATTCTTAAATTCCTTTTTGACTTTGAACGTACGTCGTAAAAAGGTGTGACGTTAGTCAACAAGAAAATGAGTAAGAAAACTGACTGAGTTGAGAGGAAATTAAAACCGTAAAAATGTCTCGCTCTCTTCGTCTCGGTACCTTGAAACTAAAACGAGAAATGTCACCTCGCGATATGAATGAAAAGACGAGGGAAATGTCACGTGTTGAGATACAAAAGAGGTTCGTTCTCGCATGCTGGCAGAGTGGCACACCGGTTGTTCTAATTTCAATACATCGATTGTGAGTGTACATGTGCACATACACACGGGTTGTGTCTGATCTTTTTCGAATATTTTTCTTTATAATTCACTGGCGCGCATCGCCGTATCCCTCGGGCGACCCTCGTCGCTGAAGCAACTTTGCAAAATATTAACGGAAATTCCCTCAATT